CTCTCTCTCTCTCTCTCTCTCTCTCTCTCTCTCTCTCTCTCTCACGGGGCCAAGTCCCACTAGCAGCGTTGAGCTACCTCAACGCCTGAATCTGGACGTTTTTGCCGTGATGTGCAGAAATGGTGTTGAGTTTCCTGAACTGCACATCTCCACAAACACGTCCAGATTCAGGCGTTGAGGTAGCTCAACGCTGCTAGTGGGGGGCGCGATGCACTCCCTTTTCCTCAATTTCGTTTTCCTTCTTCCTTTTTTTTTTTTTTTTTTTTCAAGTTTTCTTTGTTTTTAGTTTGTTTTTCTTTTCATTTTCTTCACATTTATTGTAAACAAAATTGGTTGTCCTCGAAGTACCGGTACTTCGAGGCTCGTCACCGTAGCTGTAGATTAGGCCTACCGGTAGCTCGAGGGTCGGGCCTTGACAACCGGTAGGTACTGGTGGTTTAAGAATGAGGTTCTATTGTGGGTGGTTTTCCCTACGCATGAAAAGTGTTTTGTATCCGGGTGTAGGAGCCTAAATGGATCAACTAAGTTCTTTTTGTAATAAAATCTGTTAGATCCGGGCTGTTTGATTGCTGGGATGGGTCGCTGGAGTTGGATATCCTATCTAATGTTTTGTACAAAGTTCCAATCTCCCATTAGTATGGAGTGGAAGGCTTATCTCTCCTCATATGGGGGACAGCTGCTTTTTTTACTATGCTATTATCTTCTCTCATTATTGTATCTCACACTACCTACCCTGGGCAAGCAAAGGACCATCCACCCCCCAGACAAGCCCGGAGCTTAATTTATCCGAAGACAGGCAGCCACTTGGAACCCAATACATACTAGAAGATCCAAGGTTTAGGGCCAGGAGAGGGCCAGGAGATCAGAAGGAACATACCTACCTATGGAAGGAAGGTCGAAACTTAGACTCCCTATCCAGGGCTAAACTCCCTAGCCAGGGCTAAGCTATCCTAAGGTTATGGGTCTATGCCTACCTATCTCTGCCCTGTGCGGGAAGCGGTACCCAAGCTCCTAACACCTGGTGCGGGCCGGAAATAACCATTTACTTCCACAACCAGCCAGGAGGCCCAATCCAACAGTCTCCGTTGGTGAACCCGAAGCATACCCCCCGGAGGCCGCAGGGATTGAAAGGACGACGTTGGGTATCGAACCCACAACCTCCTGAGTGCCACTTACGTGCTTAACCAACTGAGCTATTGCTCTCGCTCATTTTCCTTGCAGTAAGCTTCAAGCAGCAGGGAACAAAGGCAAAGGGGACCAACCCATAACTAACAGAAGATGTCTGGAAGGCGGATCAGCAAGTATGAAAGCCCAACAGCATCAGCAAGCAGGATCAACAATTCATGTGCAAGTTGTGGAAGCGCTGTGGGTTGCTTGTGCGATAGTGCGACGTGGATGGAAGGTGGTTGCTGGAGGAGGAGCGAGTGTCCGGTGGGGAAGAAGACGTCTGGTTACCATAGCTCGTGTTAGAAGGTCGAGGAAGAAGGCGGCCGTATCTGCAAGAGTATGGCGACAAAGTGCAGTTGCGTTCAGGGTAGATCTAGGCGAGGGAGGAGAGTTGAGCGCAGCAGGGAGGTTGAACGATTCAAGTCTTGAGAGTGAGAGGAGAGAGATATAAGAGACCGAGAGAGGGGGAGTTGGGTACATACCTGAAGTCAGGTTGTTTGGATTGCTGCCACTGCCACTGAACATCTGAACTCTCTAAGTGTATTAGATCATATTTTCTAGTGGAAATTCTTCAGGCCCTGATTCTTGTGTCATCTCTCGGTGTGGTGTGAACATCTGAGTGTTCTCTGCGTACATGTTGTGAGTTGGATTGGAATTGCAAAGCTCTTTGAAAGATGAGCTGAGCCTTGTTTACACGAGTGCTATTGCATTCAAGAGTCACAAAATCCAAAGGACACAACCTTCCAATACCTTTCAATTGTGCCACTGACTTCAATTTTGACTGCGTGATGGTAGACAGTCCCATGTGCAAATCGCTCATTTCGATCAACACATTTCATCTTTGATTTTGCAGGTGTCAGAAGATATTGAATATGCGTGTGTTCACTGATGAAAGGCGTGGAAGGTCATGGGACCAGACTGTAAGTCGACCTCTTCCAGTTTGAAAGGCAAAAGAGTACTTGAGGAATGGAAGGAATGGGTATCTTTTTGCCATGGTAAATCATGCACACTACCAAGTCGTCAGAGTTTGATGCACCTTATGTGAAAAGCTGTCACACACTTTTGCAAAACACATAGAGAGGGAAAAGAGAGACCCAGCATTATGGGGAGAGAGAGAGAGAGAGAGAGAGAGAGAGAGAGAGAGAGAGAGAGAGAGAGAGAGAGAGAGAGAGAGAGAGAGAGAGAGAGAGAGAGAGGTGATTATCAGTGAAGATTTATATACTGGCTTGTGAATTTCTTGGACATGACAGCATCCTACAGTCTGGAAAGTCAGTGCCATCTCTGCGAATCCCACATGGATCAGCGAGGCTGGTGGGAGGGCTTTGGTAGGTTGTGCAGCGTGGTGGGATGAACATCATTCTTTACAATATCTCTGTTCATTAAAACAATTCTTCTATGATGATGTTCTTCATGAAAGAGATCCTCTGTTGGGAGTCTGTTGAGTTAAGTCTGATGCATTGACGAACTTTGCAAGAGAGGTCATGTTAGAATGGTTGGGGTGGGGTCAGCTAAAAGAGCTGTAAACGAGGAGGTAGTCTACTGTCATATTGCCAGAGAATCAACACTCAGGCATGCTGAAACCGAGGTCAATCCTATGGAAAAGGGTGATGAAAAGAGCACAATGCACACATACACAGCAATGGAAACATGCACGACACACCCAGAGACAGTCAGACATGCTGAAACCGAGGTCAATCCTATGGGAAAGGGTGATGAAAAGAGCACAATGCACACATACACGGCAATGGAAACATGCATGACACACCTGGAGACCATCAGGCTGAGACTTGACACACAGCAAATCCAGATAGAACCTCCCCACTTAATCATGGACAAAAGAAGAACGTGAAGAAGAAGGAGAAACGTGATAGTGAGGACAATTTATTATATGTCCATGCTTCATTAAGAAAAAGTTAATGCCAAGACTGAATCACCATGTCCAAGCTATGAACATGCAGGGTCCCTGACATGTTTTAGCTGGATGTGCACCAGCCTCTTCAGGGGGCTTGCCACAAACCCCAGAGTCCACCGCTCCAAACATCCAAGCACTGGCCTTCACCCACTCACCACGCTGGCTGACTTCTGTAACTCGACCTCGCTGGAACTGAACCTCACAAATGGCGCGTGTCCAGCCAAGTTCCAGGCTGTTCTGAACAGAAACTCTGCTGAGCAATGTACAGATCCCTACCCCACACCATCGAACAGGGCTGCCTCTCTTTGCCGGCTCAGCTCACACATGGGGACCTCCACCTTAGCATCTCACTTTTACAACATGTCTCCAGGGTTGCGGCAAGTAAAGTACCAAGTCCTAGCATCAGTGTCGGGACTCCGGAGCTGGAATTACTATAAGGCTATAAAAAAGATACGGACTGTCACATAGGATTTCTAAGTGATTCCCCACCTGAAACTGCCTGGGCCCACTCACTGTATTAGGTCTAGATTCTGCTACTAAGTTACCCAACATCCCTCAGTCACACTGTGATTAGACTCTAATGAACTGAGGCACTAAGCAGGACAGACGAATTTACAATCCGGTGAATAAACCCATTTATTAAAGTTAAAACTTAAAATATACAGGACTGGGCAACATGCAGGGTGAAACCTAATCTACAACCCTGTACATGCATCACAGCATAGGGGCAAAATTCTTGAGCCCTAGCATACAGCCCCTTGCGTGGTGAATTGAGAGCACCATGCATCTCAAACTTTCATACGAGTTTCAAACAAGTCCGAACACACACGAAGCACACATGAGATATGAACTCAAAATATAGTCTTTGAACATCGAAGCAAGTAACAAAATTGTCTTCTTCAAGCTTGTGGTTATGGCTGCCCGGATACAACTCACAATAGGTCTCTTCTCTCACTCTTTGTTTTCTCTATCCCTACTCTAAGCCCACACAGGCCTCACACTCTCCCTCTCTGAATGTCGTCTGCTCACCTCTCTCTCTCTCTCTCTCTCTCTCTCTCTCTCTCTCTCTCTCTCTCTCTCTCTCTCTCTCTCTCTC